GATATAAAAATTGGTTGATGAATATATAAAGTTTACTAGTTTGTTTCGTTTCATTTTTAATATAATGTAAACAATTCCAAAATCGTTAATTAGAAATTTGACATCGTCGTTTCGAACTCAGTAGGCCTAGTGCTTTCGCTATTAATACGTGTAAGTTATTATTTTATACATAGAAAAGCATTAAAAAAGATTAATTTAATACATATATATTTAATAAACGAATATTTACCTTACTCTTAGTTAAATCGTCATATGATCAATATTGATAATTAATGTCAAATATACCAAATATTTCTTGGAGTCGTGATGTATCCATGCTATACAGTTCTTGAAACGAATAAGTGCCTAATTGTCCCAAGTTATCAGTATCATTCGTGCTATTTTGCTGATATAGTATCTGCATTTCATGTGCGTCGTTAGGGATTAACGCTATTAGCAGAAATATTATAAATATGAAGCGTTAATAAATTGGTATAATACAACTCAATTATATAATTAATAATATAAATACCATGTTGATTGGTGTAAAGGAAGCTTGGGGATGATGGTTCAAAAATTTGGCAATCTTGATTTGCAATATTTAAGATGTTAACAGTTTTAGAGACATGTTATAGGATTTTATGACAAACATTTAATAATAATTTATTTATATACCATTTGTGCCATTATTGTAATCGTAATAAAGTAAGTTAAACGTCTCAGAATTCTTTTCTTTTTGTGTGAGAGTTACTTCTTGAAATTGTTGCTCAACTTTAAACACATGTTGGCATTTACCGTACATCGAATTTGATCGTTTAGGTTTAGGCTTTTGCTCAAGCCTAACGCGCATTGTTTCTTGTGTTTCAACATTAAAATTATCAGTCTTCATGATTTTTATTGAGTGAAGTAAGAATTCGATAGAGGAATTTGCAATTTACACACTATTTTTAAATAATTCTACATCATAAGTGGATGTCTCATACTAACGCATTATTTATTTTATGTCTCATTAAAATTTACATATCTAAACAATTGTACAACTAAAAACTAGATCTTCGTAATCTTATCACGTAAAAATATCATATAAACAACTAATCTATTTTTATAAGTCTTAAGAAATTCCAGTATGATTACCGTTTTAACTAGATCCTCGCAGATAAACACCCAGAAAAAAGGAATCCCGCTCGAGTAGACTAACTAAAAATATTGGTTTTTCCAATTGTTCCGATTACAAAAAATTTTATTTAGCATATCATTACTAATTTCATTCCACAAATATTCCGCAAAACCAATAATATGATTAAAATCTTAAGCAGTGCGGCAGGGACACGGAATTTATGTGATTAGTGTGATTTAGTGCGATTTAAATTCGTTGATAGCTATCAGTTCCACAAAAATTACTATAAAGTAATTAGTAATTATGCAGTTTGTAAGAATCGCATTAAAAAACATCAATAATTTCCGTCCCTGCAGTGCTGTAGTGTTCTTCCGTTCTTCCTAAGATACGTCATAACGTTACACTATCATTTAGTCACCGGAAAATTGTCGTAAAAATTGTGCAGTAAATAATTGATTGTTCCGAAAGATTGTTCTTTTTATTGACAAAAATTTTTGATGATAAGATTGTAATTATTAAAATAGGTTGTTATTGGCTTGAACAGTTTAGTTTGACTTAAAATAACCACAAATGATGTCAAACTAAGATTTTAACACTTCTCGTATAAGCCATAGTTTAACTCATATAGTTTAAATCATAGCTTAAATCATAACTTAAATCATGACTGAGCCATACTTAGGCTATAAATTAAGCTATGGAGTGTGGCTTAGGCTATGGCTAATCATGGTTCAAGCCATTATTACTAACATTAGACCGCATGGCATTAAAATTAAAGATGGGCAGGTAATTTACTTATTACGTAAAAGTTAAATAACATTATGCGACATATTAGTTGTAAGTATATACAGTATTATTAATAAATTGTCGCATAGCGTGATTTAAATTTACGTAATAAGTAAATTACTTTGCCCATCTCTAATTAAAATTATGGCTCGAATTATGGTATGAACTTCAAATTACAGTCGGAGTTATCATCAAAGTTATACCTAAACTACGGCTGGAGCCGACATCAAGCCATATTTAAATTATGGCAGTTTTTGGTTCAAGCCATGACTTAACCATCACTTAAGATATTAGCCGCAGCTAGAGCTAGACCTAATAGCCATACTACAGCGACCCATTACCGTCTACTTTCACATGGTTAAAATCGTGACACAATCAAATCTCAAAAGCTGGATTAAGGCTAGAGTTACATTTCTGATACCTTTATTGTTATTATTTATGAATAGGTATCTACCACCACTAAACAATTACCAATTATATGTAAAATTTAGCAAGGAATTTTTTTACTTAGAGCCCAAAAGGTGGTTTCATAGGCAGAATTTGAGATATTAGCATTGTTTTAAAAAATTCTTTGTTTTGTTACACAAACATTGCATATGATCCTGCAAATTTATCACCCTAGGTAATGAATAAATGTACTCTAACTAATATATTAAAAATTTTTATTTAAATTATATTTTTATTATATTAACAACAAATTTTGTATTATTAAGTTAAATAAAAATTAAATAAAAATTATATTTTTAACTATATCATAAATATATTATTACAACTTAGATATTATTAAATTAACAGAAGAAAAAAATATTTTTACAATATAATTATAATATATTTAAGGAATATTATATTTATAACACCCATGTTATATAACACCCTATATGTCTTACTTAGGGTTAGGGTCTGATTTTAAGATAAATAAAGATTTTTTATTATACAATATATATTAAACATTAGGCCATAATAGGTCTTGATTTCAGTTCTCATGAGGTTTTCAGGGGCGCTGATCATTTTTATTTAAAGTACCTACACCCATTTACTTAGTACGTTTTTGAGATATTGCAAAAGGTGTTATATAACACGGTGTTATATAACCTACCTATATTTAATATATTTTAAAATCTATTTATTATATTATCATCTTAATAATATTGTAATTCGATAGTAAATATATAATAACTATACTTTAAAAACATTTAGCAAAAAATGTAGGTTTCTGTAAAGTAGTTAATACTATGCTTCAATCCACCTCATTATTACAACTCATATAATTGTCAACGAATTAGTTAATTAGTTCAATATATGCATGTTTAATAATATCAACGAATAAAAGAATAGTGACTTACTCTTGAGAATTTCCACAAAATATATTAATTTAGGTATATAAGCTTTATCAAACTCTTAACTGCTATTTTAACAAACTTACACTTATCGTTATGGTCGTTATAGTACTCTTATAGATAACAGTGATTTAGACGCGTTAGAAATTCAACAAACCACTAACAACATAAAATAAACAAGCCTTATAATTTATTCATACCTACTTTTGCTCCTATGAAAACTCTCTGGGGAAAGCGATTGAAAACGATTAGAAAGGATTTTCTGCTAAAGACACCAAAACTAAGAAATTTTATTAATAAACATGGGTACCATAAGTTTAACTTATTATGGGTAAATGGATCGTGAAATTGCCGGTTATTAGACTACAATCATATCAGATTTTCAATTGCCCATATAAATAATTTGTGTAACAACATTTTCGAAATCTATCGGATACGAGTTTCTACTATGCTGTCATTACAGGATTTTTCTTAACTGCATACAGAATTTGGTCTTAACCAGGGTTGTAAAATTACCGTAATTTACGGTAAGTTACTAAAACTTATATCAAATTACCATGGTAAATTACCATGATAAAAAATTTCAATTGGCCAAGATTATACGTATGATCGGCCAAGATTATACATATGATCGACCAAATCTTATACGTACATATGATTAGCCAAGATTTAATAGAAAAGTTGATTATACATATAAATTAATGCCAGCCAAAATTAAGCTTAACTCCGCAGTAATTTGGTAACTTACAGTAATTTACCAGTAACTTACTATCAGTAAGTTTACATTTACAACCCTGGTCTTAACCAAAACAGAAAATTATCGGCACTGCCCCGGCCAAATGATCTGCAAATTGGAAATTTTAGAAGTCGACAATATCGACAAAAATCGCTAATCGGAGACATTGGGCCCTAAACAGAGGTACTGGAGTTATTTTGAACCCCATAATAATTGTTTTTAATTGGTCTGCTATACGGAATAATACTCAATACATTTAAATAAATACCCTAAATAAGTCAAATAAAACCCTAAATAATTCAAGATCATGCGTCAAACTCAAGAGTCCCACCCAAAACCCAAGAGTCTAAATCCTATTGAGTCATATAATTTGACATCGTTATTATATACGTTGTAAACGTCAAATTTACACCTACTCAGCAATGCAATCGACGCAGTACAAGTTTAATAAAGTGAAGAAATCATAAATTTTTAATTTTTATTTTATATGTAAGTAACAAGTATATAAGTGACCCAACTTACTCTCAATAAAAGTAACTCAGCTAAGTTCTAAAACTTCGAAGGTCTTAGTAGAAAGTGTGGTCCTCTAAAAAGTTTTTTCTTTGATTATTAAATTTGTGCCATATCTTCATTATTTCTTGGCCCCATAATATTCGTAAAACACATATTCTTGTTTTATAAAAGTAAAGAAGAAAAGTGTCGATTAGGAATCAGAACTCATATATCTAATAATTACATTGTAAAATTAAAGACTTATCGTTATTTAGTAGACAATACAATGTCAAACGACTTGACCCACCATCAAAAATTTTATGGGGTACTAAGTCTAGACTTTACACATGTCCCGAATTAGCCCATATGTGTATATCACGACCATTTCATAAATAGAAACAATAGCGATAGACATTACTGTCGACTAATAAAAATCAAAAAAAAACCTAACACCATAAAAATACTAAAAATACCTCTATTCTAAATAGTAAAAAATAAAAAAAGAAAAGAAAAAAAAAAAAGAAAAAGTCAGCAGCATCAAAGTACATTTGACAAAATGGGCAACAGAAAAAATGAAATGATTGAAATACCATTTTGTACTAGCAGTGAAGAATTATCTGATTATTTGAAATCTAAACGACATAAATTTAAAATTAAAAATTTTCAAGAAATTACAAATCTTCATGAGCACGAGGGAATCAGGAGTGCATTCAATGCCGTAAAACTTAAACTATCCCCCAATAATGCATACATTTTATTGCTAGGCATATCAGGTTCAGGAAAATCTTCTACAATAAATTTCTTATTTAATAAAGAAATTACACTCACCGGAGATGGAAAGTCTCAAACAAAAGAAACTACCGAATTCAAAGCAAAAATTAATGATTTACGTTTAGGAATAAAAAATCTTGGAATAAGTATTATTGACGGCCCAGGTTTAGAAGATTCAAAAGGGGTTGAAGAAGATGCAAAAAATATTTTATGCTACAAACGGTTTTTAGAATCACATCCACAACTTGCCTCAGTCAGACCAAATGTGATTATGATAGTTGCAGATCTTAATAATACTCGTCTTGGTGATTCGGAAAATGTAGAGACACCTTTTGCAAGAATGTTAAAAGGGATTAAATTTGGTCTCGCTGAAAAAGTTTTAGATCATAAGCGGCCGTCAGTAATTTTTGTACTGACACATCTTAAAAGCATTCCCCCAAAAAAATCAAAAGAAGTTGTATCCACTAAAACAACGTTGATAAAAGAACTTTCAGCCAGCATTCTAGGCATAATTGATCCACCTGTTGTCACTATTGAGAATTATCCAGATGACTGGGGTTTAGAACGCAAAGATGATTGGTATATCTTAGGCAATAATGAAAAACATCCGCTCAATTTGTTTGAAGCTTTGATTAATCTTTGCGAAAATTCGACTGATCATATTGGTCAAGAAGCCATTTCTTTATATTTTTCCAGTGCTTCTCAGAGTGATGTTGAACCTGGTCATAGATTTTCTGTCAAACAATTAACTAAAGACGACGATAATATTATAAAATCTATAACAACATTATCTGAAATTAAATTAGGCATGGATATTTCGGGATTAATAAAAATTATAGAAGACAAATTCTTGTTATTACCTACAGAAATACAAAATGAATTAGGAAGTAGTGTACCGGTTGAAGTTGCAAGCTTTTTTCGGGCAAATAAAATAACTACAGTTCAGGAAATCCCGTATGGTGATGAATTTCTGGAACTTTATAACCAGTACCTTCGACCTTCTGCAAATTTATTAAAGTTTCTAAAACAAGCTCTTGATCGGAAAACGACAGAAACTTTTGTTGATCCAGAGGTTGGCAAGTGCTACAATGTCTTCAAGGACAGTACTGTTGGCTGTCCTGTATTTCAGATTGGTGATTATGTGATGTCCCCTACAGGTTTTAAAGTCCCTCGTTAAGTTCGCATTCACGAAAAAAATGAGACTTTTACTCGAAGCGAGCAGTTTGAAAATAAACAAGATTATATTCGCAAAAGATTATTCGATCTTGGTCTTTCTATAGACATACCACTTGCCTTTGTAGATGGTAAATTACGTCATGGATATTCAATTGGATCGTCGACTAACAATTCAAATCATGAAACAGAACAAACATTTTTAATTGAACGCCATTGTTTTAAGTTTACATTAAATATTGATAAGCTTCAATTGTCTCAAGCGTTTAAAGATGATATAGATATTCTTCCTCCTAAATACGACAAAAGTGATGAAAGTAATGTTAGT